ATTCAGAGTGGGAACAGTTGTAGGACTTTCTACCCTTAATCTGGGGACTGGTTCACTGGTGTCTGGCTTTTCTGGGTCTTGATCTGTGTGTCTGTCTCTGTGTATTGGAAAGGGAAACATGCTGTCTGTCCCCAAGCAGAGTCCATTTGGGGCTAATTCTGAGTAGATGATCTAATTATAGTCATAAGCCAATGTCTAAAAGGGATGATTTTCTTTTGTAACACTGCATGGCTGCAATATTCTTTTAACTCTGGAGAGAACATGGCCAGACAATGAATCCTTAAGCTGGAAAATTTTTAGAGAGCTCTCGTCATAAACAGCTGTTTTATTGGTACCTATGCAAAGACCAAATTAAAAGGAAAATACAGTAACTAGTCTTAAAACCTTAATTAAACTTGGGGGTCTCAGCTTCTTCTCGTGGTCTTATAGATGCTAATGAAAACATTAAGTTAACAACGAGAAATCAGAAAGGGAAGAGTCATAGGACTCATCCCAACAGGATGGAAATCTTTAACTGGTTACTAAAAAGGAAAATGGGGTAAATAGAGCAGACATAAAGTTAAAACAAAGGTTTTAATGAAACACTGCCTAAGGCTGGATGGGCTAAAGTCACCCCGTATTGGCCCCCCAACATGTAAGGACATCAGACAAACCTGTTCTATTCATCCCAGTTTGAAAAAACCAAAAAGGTCAGGAGGCAAAAATCAGAGTGAGAAACCTGACTAACAATTGTTTGGGGCAACAGTTAAGCTGCTTAAGTTGGTAAAACTAGAAAGATTAAAGTGTTTAAGCTAATATTATATGAAGAGGTTATGTCAACTTTGCCTGGATGTTTTCCTTGGGAATAAATGTTATGTCTAACTGGGAATGCTTCTCCTATACCATATTGTAATACTGAAACTTGTTAATGGAATTCTAATACAAGTTATAAGTAGAAGTATAAGAGTTAAGAAAATTAAGATAAAGGTTTGTAAAAATTGGTATATCTAAATGGGCTATATGTAAAATAATTACATCTCTTTTGCCCGACTATATCATAAATTATGTTGTGGAGATAAACATTATGTCTCTGGGGAATGTTTCCCCTACCTGATATTGTAAAAGCATATAAATCCACCCTTTAGGCGATGTTGATTAAACATGCTAGGGGAGATCTCACTTTAAAATAGCCAAAATGGGGCAATTTCAGTTTACCCAAACTGATGTATGCAATTGGAAAAAGCCAGCTACAACAACAGGAAGCCTATTTTAATTTTTTGAGGCTTCTAAATAAAATCAGAAATATTTTACTGCCTCTTTAAGAGAAAATAATTAAATAATTAAACATGCTATCAGCAGAAGCCAAATCTGCTGCTTCTCGCTCTTCTCTCGGTGAAATTTGCCACTTCAACTCCCCTCAAATTCCTGATCTAAAATTAAGCAAGTGAAAATAAGTAAACCTTTGAGATAATTTGAAATTGTAATGGCCATTCTGGGGAACCTCTGTTTCAGATGAGTCCACCTTAGAGGTCACCCCTAAAAGAGAGGATTCAAAATCTCTCACAATGGAATGCAGTCTTTGATTAACATACAGAAAATTCTAAAAGACAAAGTTACTTAACATAATATAAAATGATCTTTGGTAAATAAAAGCCTGTTTAAGTTTGCTGGTTTGATTTAAAATAGGTATGTCCTCAAAGTTATCAGCATTGGATATAAGGCAGACATACAGCCCGGGTTTACTGGTCAAACAAGCTCATGTTCTCTCTGTTACAAAATTTGTCAATAAGAACAATAACTTAGAATAATAGCTGATTTTGTTTAATGTCTCATGAGGTTTTCGTAGACGATCTAAACATAATTGTTGAGAACAGGTAAACTAAATGTAAAAGGATAAATGTTTTTGGAGAAATTTTTTAACAATAATTATGTGTTATGATATATGTACTTAAAACAATTTAAGATGATGGTTAATTGCTTTGATGTCACACAAAGTCTTTGAGAGTAATCTAAACATGATTTTTAAAACAAATAATTTAAATAGATAAAAATGGGTAAAAGTTTTTGAGTATAATAATTGTGTTTTATGGTCTGTATACTTAAAAAACAGCTTCCAAAATCTTTTTGGTAACCTAAAACATTAGAGTTTTCCTATGTTAAGTCAAATAACAAAATCTGTTGAATATCTGGGTCATTTTTGGATAGGATGGAATACTGAAACATTATTATTGCTGAACATGTCTATCTACTTTTGGCTTATTACAGAAAAACTAAAAAGCATTTGGGTCTATCAATAAACACATCTGTGTTTTATTACTATAAAGTAACGTTTCTAAAAATTATCAAAGGTATTTGTAAATTTGTCAAGCCTTAGAATGCTAAGGTAAAAAAAAGTTTATAATTGCCTAGTCGGTTTTTACTTAGAATTTAAGGTTTCTAAGAGTTAAAAATTCTAATTAATATATGAAATTAAAGCTACTAAAAATTAAGGAAAAAATATTTGTATACAAGGAAAATAAAATATATGTTTTCAGTAACAAGGTATATAAATAAAAGTATTTTTGCTTGTTGGGTTACAAAAAGATAAATTTGTCCTAAAGTACTCAAAGGGAAGAAAGGAAACCTGGGACAAATTCTGAATGTAAAAAATAAGTGACAAAAGGTTTATGAAAGTAAAACCCCTAAGAGTTTTATGTATGGTCAAGTTGGCTGAGATTAAAATAAATTTAATTCTGTAAATAAATTTTAATGTAATCTGGTACAAAATTAAAACTTGGTCTTCTCTTTCTTAAAAAGATAATTTTCCTAAACTTTTAGTCTGCTATTGGTAAAAACAAAAATATGAAAGATTTTTTTTCTTTGAGGAGTCTACCAGAAGAATAAAGATTTTATGTTTTATCAAAATAAATATCCTATATTGTTTTTATCAGGTCCTTAATCAGAGATGCCGAAGTTCTTCTTATAGCTATTTAATTCTCTGCGTTCACCTAAAATTCTTTAACTGTCACCGTGGTGAAAGTGATAATTAAACATGGGGACCTATGATATTGTATGGGTAAATGTTATTGATAAAAATGTTTTAAAGGCTGTATAACATTACTAAAACTCTGATCTGTTCTAGTTATCAGTCTTAATTCTGGTTATTTCAAAGTGTTATATGTCACAGAAATAGTCAAGTATCTTTGTCAATTGTCATTTTTAAGTCTTTTGTTATTTATGGACAGTTGTTTTACTCTGATGTTTTTGCAAATATGTTTCACCTTCAGAAAAGTTCATGGAAAAGACTGACACCTGCTCTAAAATACAGATTTATGATAAACTTTCAGATTATAAACTGAGCTAGATAAATTACAGAACTCTAATGGAGAAACTGATGACCTCATAAAACTACCAAGAGAAGATTAAGATAAAAAATCTATTACACAGGACTAAATGAACTGATGAAGATGATTATAATTTTTATGACTTCTTGTTTAAAATATTACTGATTTTTAAAAACGTTTTGTGTTTTGTTTCCTCAGATTTAAAAAAATCATTGCCTCTTTTCTCTTGTGCTAACTATGATTTATAGCAATTTGATAAAATCATACATTTGTAAACAAAATCGAAACATTTATCTTTTTCTCCCTACCTGATCCCTCCAGAATTTGGAAATTCTTAAAGAGTAAGTATTCTTATTTTCATGGCTATATAGTTGTCTGCATAAGTTCAATAAGAATCTGTTTGTCTTATAACAGGACACAATTGGAAACACTAGTTATATTACCAAGGCTTTGACTGGAATGTCATATTTAAAAAAAAACCTACAGGCTTAGATATGACAAGACAGCTTTTGAAAAATAAAGGTTGACTTTCTGGAGTAAAGCCAGTTGGAAATATTGGCCTAGTACCTTGCTTATGGGTTCCCAGTAACCTGGTAAGGTTGAGTAAAGAATGTCACTCCCCCTGGCAGGTGCAAGGAACCTCAATATTTTGGGAAACCTCTCAAAGAGAGGAATTCACCCAAATTTGTAGGTATTGCAGGCAAAATCTGATGACAAGTTCTTGGTCTGGCTTTCCTGGCCTTGAGAGGCCTTTAAAGTTCAATCTGAGATTCCTTGTAAAAAGTTCCAGCAAAGCAGATTCAAAAGAACCTATATGATCAACTGCTATTCTTACTGTACTTATGTAAACAATTGGGCCAAATTTATTAAAACTAAACTTATTTTACAACTAGTATTTTTGCTAAAAATGAGGGTGATTTTAGAGAGAAAAATTATGTTTCAATAGAAACTATAATACACATTCATGGATATTATATTCTAATTCCATTAATTGTCTTTGAGGTTTTTGTTTTATATCTGTAAACTGGACTGGATCCTGAATTCTTCCAGTCTCCTGAAATATCTCAAATAACAAATCTCCAAACTAATGTTTCCATTTTTTTCTATGATTTTCATTTGGAATCACTGAGAACTGAACCTGCCCTTTTTCCTGAAGCCTTAAAAACTGAAGCTGGAGCACTTGATGTAAACTTAAGACAGATTCATGCCTGCTGCTGTGTAAACCACTCAGAAAGCTACCTGAATGCCTGATGACACCATCAAGACATTTTAAACTGCAAAAGATGCTTTGACCCTCACTTTTAGGAATCTTGATTGGCTGCCCCCTGGGCTCAGGAACTGGTTTATGATTTGCTCCAACCATTGACCTTGTTTTTTCTTTTTGTTTCTCTAGAAATGTTTCTTATTAAATAACTGGTTACTTACTTATGCAACACAGACCTAACTTTGAAAGCCCACCTGCATCACTGCCTTATGAAAAGGCTGGCTCAACAAGATAAAACAACCTATGCCCTTATTCAGCAGGAAGTAGCTAAATTGGTCATTGCCCCAAATCCTTCAAGATTGAGAAATGAACATAAAATAGGGCAGAATTAATGCTGGCTCTGATATCAGTTCCCCTACATTAAACCCAGGATATATGGGGTTAAAACCAAAGCACTCTTCCTCTGTTTACTCCCTGGCTTCCTGGTTCCAGAATCTACTATCCGCCATGGAGACAAACAGCCAAGGACAACCACCTGGATTTCATATCATCTCTTCCTCCTCCTCCCTGTAAGTAGTGTCCCAAGGCCAAGTGCAGGCTGGTGGGAAAGCTTTGACCAGCAAGGGCCCTGACTCCCCCCTGCCATCTACAAACAGCTACATTCCTCACAAACCTCTAAAACCCCTTGCCTCCCCTCTTTTGGGGACATATGAAACGAGACAAATTTGAAGGCTTGCTCTCATCTCCTGGCTGATATCACCTGAAATAAAAACCCTTTCCTTGCCATAAGCCTGGTATTCTAGTTTTTATTTGGCCCCTCTTGTGTCGTGGGTAAAGAACCTATGTTTGTAGGTGGTAACAGAAGGAATGTGTCTGCATCACCATTTTGGCCTTAGCTCATTTCTAAAGAAAGGGGTGAGATATTGATGGATATTTCCTGAAAAAGCAAGACATTAGAAGAAAATACCTACAAGCCTCTCCAACAGGACTGACCCAGGTAGGGTATGAAAGAGCTTTTCTAGGGATCTGGACTTCTTCTGCATGCCCAGAAGTACTAGAGAAACAAGTCACTACACCTTTTCCCACTTTCCTCATAATCTCCCTCAGCTGCCTGGCTGCCTTTGCATCAGAGGAGGTAGATGATTATGTACCCTAGACTCTCCAAAAACACTGCGGGCTCACTGAGGTCCTGGATGTAGGGAGAGAATGGGAACTAAAATTGCTCAGAACCTACTCGTACTTGACATTGCACAAGCCACACACCTTTCCATTTAATTCACAAAAACACCTCAGGAAGTAGATGCAATTATTCTCATTTTACAGATGGGGAAACTGAGACTGAAAGAAGTGAAATGAATTGCCTGAGATTACACAGGTACTTAGGTGGTACAGTCAGGATCTGCATTTGATACTATCCAACTCGAACATCCATATTCTTTCCACCACACTGGTACCACCAGGCAAGCTTGGTGTACTGTAAAGATGCAACAATAAATGCTTGATTATGAAGATGAAGAAAAGTGCTTTGAAAAGAATAAAGCTATTATTGAAATGTGAGGTATTAATGATTATAGATGTGTCCTACTTTTGAAATATGTTAAACAAAGTCATTATTTACATTACGTTACATTATTTACATTACAGTCATTATTTACATTTACAAAGTCATTATTTACATTATTTACATTACATTATTTACATGACTTCTTTAAATAGGATCTGCTCTATATAAAAAGACTGTGTTTACAGATATTGGCTTCTTAATAATAATCACCACAAACACTACCTCTAAATTTGATGAGTGCTAGGTACTGTGCTTAAATATATATTTCCTAACAATAATACTTGAGTAAGGCTTGTTATTCTCACAATAGTAAACAACAATGGTAGCCCAAATGTACACAGTGCTTATTATGTGCCTGTTCTAAGCCATGTTTCTCGAAATTGGCACTATTGACATTTTGGACCAGATAATTCTTTGTTGTGGAGGGCTGTCCTGTGCATAGCAGGATCACACTAGCATCTCTTGCCTCTACCCAGTAGGTGTTGGAACCACTCCCTGCTTCCCCAGTTGTGACAACCAAACAGTCTCCAGACATGTCAAATATGTCCTGGAGGTGGGGGAAAAAAACTCACACCCTGCCTTCTAACCCTTTACATAAATTGTTTTAAATCTCACAACAACCTACTAGGCAGGTTATTATCTCTGATTCACAAATGAAGAAATCGTAGCCCGGGGAACTTAAGTCATTTGCCTCAGGTAGCGTGGCAAGTAACTGGTGGAGCTGAGATTCAAACCCAGCAGTTCAGCTCTAGAGTCTGTGCTCTAAACAGATAGATTATTCTGCCTCTCAGTTTACAGATGAGGAAACAGAAGCAGAGCTCAAGATGTCCAAGATGGTAGAGCTAATAAGTGGAGAGAGCAGGATTCAAATTCAGGTCTGAGTGACTTCAAAGTCTGTATTCTAAAATACTATACCAATTGTCATCAGACAATTACCTTGGGCACTCATTAAAGATGTAGATTTGCGGCTCCCACCTCTGGGACTGATTTTACAGCTCTGGGCTATGGCCCAGGAATCTGCATTTATACAAACACCTAGGTGATTCTGATGCAGTTGGTCCTAGGTCCACACTTTGAGAAACTATTTTTCACTGCCTCCCTCCCCACAGAGAGAACAGGGTAGTAAGTATAAATGGAGCAAAGTGTAAAAAGTGAGTAGGAAAATTTTAAGGGGCATCATTGCTCAGAAGTGAAATAGCTGAAAAGGGGAAATAAAATAATTTAAGTAGTCAGAGATGAGAGATTCATAATGGTGCTTTGGGACCAATCCTTACCTTCAGAGGTTTATTCTTAGAATACAATTACACAAACTCACAAAATGTTAGGAAATAAGGATTTGGCCTAGTATGACATTTGTGAAAACTAATAAACAGAAACCTCATTTAAAATGGAGTTGGGAGGGCAGAGGGGGAGCTCTCATGCCCTACAAAGATAGCAGAGCCCAAAAGGAAGAAGAAAGACTTCTTCTTGCCCAAGAGCTCAGCCAATAGATATAGTCGCAACTCAGCCAATGAAAAGCCACTATATTCAAACTCTCAATCCCTCCAATGGACTATTTGTTTACAATAGCCTTCCCAACTTCCCCTTCCCCTCTATAAAAGAGTTTCCCCTCCCCTTGTTGCTCAGAACTTGTAGGTGGCTTGCCATGGTTGCAGATCCTGAATCACAATTCTCTGTTGATCCCCAAAAAACCCATTTTTGCTGGAGAAATAATTGGTTGTCTATTTGTTTAAGGTCAACACACTTATGATTTTTATTAGAAGACCTGGCTGGATGAAGAAATGACATCTGTGACACCAGCAATAAGTCAAGTCTTGCAGCGTGCCCCACTATCTCAGTTCTTTGTATCAAGAGAGGACAGAGGTGAGCACAAAAGGCAGGCTTCAAAGACTGAGAAAGCTGCTACAAGAGGGACCATAGAACCTGTACCTTCTACCCACCCTGCCAGGGGACTCTTCCTGAAATATCTTTGTTCTGCAGTTCCTCTGTTCTACATAATCCTTAGATCCTGTGACCTGTCAAGGTCAGGTCCAGACTACCTGCAGGTCTTCAAAGCCCCTCACAATGAGGCTGCAGTGTATGTTTCCATCCTTATTTCAAATTTTCAGCCAGTCATTAAAGACTATTCAAATCTTACATTACCCATGTCTCACTGTTCACAGGGGCTCTTCCTTCTCTGAAGACCCATGGCATGTGTTATGGAGTGTCTGTGTCCCCCCCAAATTCATATGTTGAATCCCTAACTCCCAGTGTAGCTGTATTTGAAGATGGAGGCCTCTAAGGAAACAGATTAAATAAGGTCATAAAGGTGGGATCCTGTCTTATAGGATTAGTGTTCTTATAAGAGATACCAGAGAGCTTGGTCTCAATCTCTCCCTTTCTGCATACACCCACTGAGGAAAGTGAGGACATAGCGAGGAGGCAGCCACCTGTAAGCCAGGAAGAGATTCCTTACCAGAAACCAAATCAGCTGGAATCTTGATCTTGGACTCCTGGCCTCTAAAACTGTGAGAAAATAAATTTCTGCTGTTTAAGCCATTCAGTTTGTGGTATTTTGTTACGGCAGCCCAAGTTAACTAATATAGCAGGGCCTGAGGATTACAGCAAGTACTCAGTAAATGGATATCGAATAAATCAAACCAAATGGGATCTGGGCAGCAAGGCACTACAGAACATCACCAGGCTCTGATCCACACTCCTCCCAGCAAAATTTCTGCCTGTACCACTGTGGAGTGGGATTGGGACAGGTTCATGTGGAGCATCCAGGGTAGGGGGGTGGGGAACTCCTTTCCCACTAGGAAGTCAGAGGAACAGGACATCTCTGATATAGACGTGCCAGCAACACAGAAAGGCCAATGGCTTCTTCCTGAGGCTATTTCACTCCATGATAACTCGAGTAGGGGTCGCGAGCTGATCAGTGCACATTGCTATCATCAGTTTGTCCTTTTCAGGCAAGCCTTTCTCCCTGCTATTAACAAGTCACCATTATAGAGGCACCACATGAGGATAAACTGCTGGTTCTGGAATTAAACCTTTACATATCACCTGATGACTCTAATCAATACTCTACTGCAGTTATGTTAAATAATCACTGACTAAAACCGTAGATCTGAATACAGGCCTAGAAACGTACAACCAAATCTGTGAAAATATAAGCTGTATAGGGCCAAGGGCCTGGGCTGCCCTCAAGCCCACATATAGTGGGATGAGGCCAAAGTAGTCTTATTCCACAGAAAAGAGGCCAAATCATTTCTTGGCCTTGGCTTCCAGGATGTGGATAAACACACCACAGTCATATTTAATGAGGAATAAAGCGATTTATTGATCTGCAAGAACTATCTGCCATTCCCTCATAGGTAACTCCTACCATGTGCTGTTTAAATTGCTTCTTTCCTAAATAACCTGCAATACATGTGCTTTATTACTACTGGAATACAATTTTCTACCATCCACTTTCAACTACCAATGACAAGACTATTCCTTTCCAGGAGTATATTACCACTATTCTACTTGCTTTGGTATTATATGGATTTGAGGAAAACAGTAACTTGTTAGCATTTTGACAACCACTTGGGGCTATGTAAAAAGCTTATATATAAAACTTCCTAACATTTTGCTAGAGAAAGTGAAGGCATTAAGTGTTTACTTTACTTTTATTTATACTTTTCAGAAGAAAAGCTGGTGAGAGAATCTGCTCTATCATCAGAGTTTGCCGTCTTTGGTGGAGAGAAGGCTTACTAGATGTGAAGAGGAAGGAAGACTCAATCAGGTGAATGGAAGACTCAGGTCATATCTTTAAGAACAAAAAGGACAGGGGATATAAGGAAATCATCCCATTTGTTACAGACTTGGGATAACAGTTCCTTGTTTTTACTGGAGGTTCATTAATTTTGTTTACAATACAAATGAGAAAGAAAAAACTTAAGCTTCCTCAATATAAATGTTTATGTCAATGATTAGAAGTGAAAATATAAAATTATTTGATCTTCTGTTCATTAACAATGCAACATTATAGGAAGAATACAAATTTTAGAGTGAGACAGATGAGAATTTGAATTCTGGCTCTGACAATTAGTAGCTGTGTTAATCTGGCTGATTTGTAACTTCTCTGATTTTCTTCATCTGAAGAAGGCAACCAACATGTCGGGCTGTTATATGGATTCGAGATAGATTTTGGGATGTGCCGCCCACAGAGTAGGTAATCAATACAACAGTTATTAAAGTATTAAAGAAAACTAATGCCTAGAGAACTGGTGTGGGTATACAATCTGCCTAGCTGGATCGAGGATTACACCATTGGGTCTCAATCTCAATAACCAACTTCTCCATTTACACCGGTTAAATAACTATAAACTGCTTGACCCTCTCTCCCCCTTTTCCACAATACTTGAAAGAAGGACAGAAAGAGATAGCAATAAAAAAACCAAATTCCCTTAAAATAAAGTAATGCATATAGAGACAACATCTTGGTGGAAGTCAAAAAGAATTGCTTGAAGAGGTTTTTTTGTGTTTTTTTGCGGAGGAAGATTTGCCCTGAGCTAACATCTGTGCCAGTCTTCCTCTATTTTGTATGTGGGTCACCACCACAGTATGGCTGTTGACGAGTGGTGTAGGTCTGTGCCTAGGAACCAAACCCAGGCTACCAAAGTGGAGCACGTCAAACTTAACCACTAGGCCACAGGGCTGGCCTCTTGAAGAGTTTATTTCATCTACAGTGAAGGAAAGAATAGTACCATCATTTACTCATTTGATCCTGTTTCTTCCTCACACTACCACAGAATTTCAAAGCAATGTATTATTTATTGCTATTAAGGTATTTGATTTGTTTTTCTATTTTAAAGCCCTTCTGCCTTCATCAGAATGCAGCAGGCTACTTTGGCTAAAGATCCAGGGCTATAAACTTTGTTCAGTGAAATAAGATCATTTAATAATATTCTAATCCTGGAATGCAGTTATGAAGAAAGATGATGACCACTGAGTGCAATGGCTCTTACGCAAACATAAAGACGTAAAAAACTTAGCACTTGAAAATTTGTTAAAAAAAAAATTCCCACAGAGGCCAGCCCTGTGGCCGAGTAGTTAAGTTTGTGCCCTCTGCTTCGGCAGCCCAAGCTTTCGCCAGTTCAGATCCTGGGTGCAGACATGACACCACTCATCAGGCCACGCTGAGGTGGCATCCCACATGCCACAACTAAAAGCACCCACAACTAAAAAATATACAACTATGTACTCGGGGTGCTTTAGGGAGAAAAAGGAAAAATAAAATCTTTAAAAAAAAAAATGAATTCCCACATTCTGCCAGTCTGTTTTACATACCTGAGACTTTTTTTAGGAATCTGTGATGGAGAAGAATGACTCTTTTTCTCCTTCTCTGAGTCTTGTAGTAACCCATCCTCTGTTGCCGTCTTCTCTGTGACTGCTGACTGGTCTGCCCCAGCCTTGCTCTGATCCACACTGAGCTCGCCTTGGGCAGGGTCACACCTGTACATGAAAACGATGGCTGGCTTCTCACTAGACTCCCCTTTTGCCTCCGTGAACCAGTGATGGCGCTGAACTGGAGGAGGTGGCAGCATGTGGATGACTGTGCCATCCAGGCCCACCAGTTTCCCTTTCTCTCGGTCTTTCTCTTTGTCATCCTCCTCATCAGTTTTCCGACGGCGGAAGAAGCTTTTAAATGATATCCAGCGTTTAGGTTTTGCATCAGCTGCCCGCCTACTGCCTTCAGAGTGCAAAACTGACTCAGCTTCTGTTGACCTGGTAGGGCTGGTTGGCTTGGTCCAGTTGGTGAAATGCCTCTGCAAAAGGTTACTTGCATGGTAAGGGGAGGAAGTAGAGCGTGGTGGGGGAAAGGGAGGTGGTGGCTCATTTTGGGGGTTAGTCGCTAATTTGGAGGGAGGGGTGGTGCCTGGCTTTGTGAGTGGATCTTTCTGTACTTTGGTGGTAGGGCTTTCTGAGGTCTGATGTGCTTCAGCCTCACCACTGGGCTGAGATGTAAAGAGAGATTTGGGCCGAACGGGTGTACTCTTAGCAGCATCAGCATCTGGAGGAACTGCATAAAGCTCTTCCACACTGCAAGCTTTAGGGCCAGACTGGGGCATTTCTGGAGGAGACTGTGGAGGCTGGATGGAAGCCACAATCTGAGACAGCACTGTGCTTGCTTTCTCCCTGGTGCTGCTGCCACTGCCCACCATCTGGTACTCCTGAGCTCCTTCTGTTCTGGCCACAGGTTCTTGAGCGGTTCTCTGGATCTTTGTTGGGGAGCTGTGGCTGGAACTATAGCTTCTCTGTGGTGAAGACTGACCTCTGTTAAGACAGCTATTAAACTCCTGAACCTTCTGAGCCACTGAACCCCTTTTACACTCTGTGCTGTTTGAAAATCCTTTAGCTTGGGGACATTCAGTGGGTTTGCTAGTAGTGTTATCAGACACTTTGCTTTCAGTTTCTATTTCTTCATAAGTATGGCTTATCATACTTGTGGTTCTTTCCTTCAGTGAAAGTTCTCCACTTGTTCCGAGAAAACTTTTGTAAATGGCTAGATTGTCATATGCATTTGGATTGATTACAATGGGAACTTTGATAGCGTTTTTGGAACTCCGAGCATAAGTTGGCTCATCATGAATGATAATTGGAAAAGGTGGCATACCAGCATTGTTATAACTATTAAATTTTATTTCAGACAAATTAGGTGACTTAACAGGGATGGTTTTACATGAAATGTTTGTAGCTGTGGGTGAAGTAGGTGCTGATTTGTGACAGTTTTTCCTTGGAGGGACATTTGGTCCAGTTCCACCACTAATTAATTCCACCTTAGGTATCCTTTGCCGTGGACTGGTACTGGAAGTCCATACTTCCTGGTACTGGATTGCACTGGATTTTTGGAAATGCGCACTTATTTGTCCTGATGTCAATGCAGGTGATGTCACTGGAGAGTTTGGAGTAGAAGAGCTTTTCATCTTAGAACTGTTAACAGGGCCCTCGAGGTGCTCACTGGCCATGGCTGCTGACACGTCCACGACAGTATATGGCTTGCACAACGGCTGTTCCAGATTCACAACTCGGTAGGGCTTCGCTTGCTCTTCTACAGGAACGAGGTTTATGGTTACTGCTTGCCCAGCAATATCTGTAGAGGCTTTACTTTCTCGCTTCTCAGTTTGTACAGCAATCTTGCCATCCTTTTCTTCTAAACGGAGAGCAAGTACTGCTTTGTGTGTCTCTCCAACTTTTATTGAGCTTTTGGATGCTTGTGATGAGTCCTCCTCCTGATTATTACTAGAGAGACTTTCATAATTGGGCTCAGTTTCCTTCCTGTCCTTAGAATCTCCTGGGTTACCAGGAGATATTCCCCCATTACAAATCTTCTGAGACAAACTACTGGTTGTCTCAGACCGTGATTCTTCTGTTAAAGAAGAATCTGGTGATGTGGAGTCAGATGATACCATGCTCTGAATGCTTCCTGGCCCATAGGAAGCCACAGAATTCTCTTCATAACCATTCAGGATTTCATCATAACTGTCATCATAGTCTACAGCACAGATTCTCTGTAGAGATTTATTTCGCAGGGGGACAGTATTCCATTTTTTGTCCACAAAGAATCGAACAGGAGACAAAGTGTTTGCCCTAAAGTTAGCAAAGCGAGGTTGCCCTCTCATGCGAATCTCCATGGCCAACAGCTCTTCATCACTCTCATCCCAGCTTTCATGCTCCTCCTCCATGTTACTGAAGAGTACATCTTCCTCACTCTCCTCGCCACTAGAAAACTCTGGGTAACAGAACCGGCCCCCTTCATTACTGATCACTTCTGTGCTCCCACTCAGAATAACATGCTTGCCTTGAGTATCCTTTATCCCACCCACCATGCAACTTGGTGGAAGCTTTCTTTCTAGTGATCGTTTATAGCAATCATTTATTCTTCCTAAGAATGTTTCTCTGGAGTTTGCTCCATTTCCTCTTATCTGAGGGTTGGTATCCAAGCCTGCTATCTCCTTCAATACTTCAGTTAGTCCATTATTGTTATTTGATATCTTCTTTGCACTATCATGCCTATAAGGCTTAGGAACATGGCTAAATCCTTCAATATCATCTTCACTATTATTATTAAGTGGTTTCTGATTCAAGGCTGTCTTGTTTCGGTTCCACCCTATGATGACAGGTTTATTCTCGCAGTGTTCTTGGATACTAAGCTCACCACATATACTTTGTCCATCTGCCACCATCATAGTGGGCTTCACAGCTATAGTGGGCTTTTTAGCCACAGGAGGCCGGAAATTTCCGGTGTTCCTGATGCGGTGGTTATTACTGTGATTGGCATTAGTTTTCACATTGCCATGGGTGATGGGTGCCTTCTCAGGGTCTGCAGGGAGCTGGTGCAAGCTTTTAGGTTTAAAGCAGTTCTTACATTCACCAGGTTTCCAAACGTGTTCGGTAAAGGTGTTACAAGCAGACATTTTTAAAAATAGAACTTCACAGATGATGCTTTCCTTTCAGTGCATGGCAAAACTTTCATCTGTTAGTTTTCACTTCCCCTGTTTCATAGCAGCTCTTGTAAGTGTGATCAATCTGTGGGAGGATGGGGAAGAAAGAAGAAAATCTGAATGAAAAAGGCACTGTGAGACTTACCACGATAAATGACTTGAAAAAACTGTCTCCCTTCCTAAATCTTTCTCTAAATTAAGAGAGAGAGAGAAACTAACCTGGGCACTTTATGAACTCCCTTTAGCCAATCAGCATTTTGGAATGTCAGTTTTTTAAGAATAATTTTATGCACTCTCAT